TATATGTGTGTGTGTGTGTGTGTGTTTCGGCCCTATGTATAAACATTTGTATGAGAAAAACAGCCATGCAATGAGCCTGGCAAAGCATTCAATAAAAAATATGGAATGAAATAAAAACTCACAAACGGTCACAATAAAATTGAAACTTGAGTAGCTAGAAACATTCAATAAGAAACATCCGTTCTCTATAAGTAGAAAAACATTTCCGTTCTCTCTCTCTTTCTGTCATTCTCACACGCTATTTCTTTAGTCTCACAGTTGAGCACACACATTTAGACCCTAAAATTACTTACACGTATGGTCAGAAATGGTTTCCTGCCTGAAATGTGGAGCTCCGTCGATGTGGTTAACAAGTCAGGGTCTCTGTAAACAGTCATGGAAGAAAGTCGCGGCGACTTCGCTAGCCCGTCAAATCCGTCCATCACCAGGCGCACCCCGGCTGCCGTGTCCCGGAACATCCGGCCGTAGTGGACCTGGGTCACATTGCGAAGGTTCGGGGTCGTGCAGCGGAACTCGTTCTCTGAGCCTGTCAGGTCACAACGACTGCGGAACGGCTGTCGTTGGGATAGTAGATTACTCATTGTTAGAAACAGCTTTTGTTGGGATAGTAGACTACTCATTGTTAGAAACAGCTGTTGTTGGGATAGTAGATTACTCATTGTTAGAAACGGTTGTCGTTGGGATAGTAGATTACTCATTGTGATTGGTTTTGTTTTAATAAGGTATTACGGCGCTCACAACTGCATAAGGTCCTATGAGCGCCAAGGGGTGTTTTTTTTGTTTTAGTAAGGAGGGATTTTCTTTGTTTATCACACACATCAATAGTCAAGGGGTTAACCAAAGTAATATTATTTTTAGCTTTAGCAAGAGTCTTGAGGCATTTGCAACACAAATAGGTTTTCTACGTGCCGAAGATTAGAGGTGTATCTTAGTTTAGTTTTAGTAGAGGTTTTACGGCACTCGCAACTGCATAAGGCAAGGTCATATGAGTGCCAGAAGATTAGAGGTGTTACAAGAGAGTAACAAACATAAAAAAGAAGAAGGGGAGATAAGGACGATAGATGTTTGATAGGAAAGAAGGAGCAAACCATACCAGAGCACCCACCAACCACCCACTGAGAGGCGTATCTAGAAAGTACATGTAACATACAAATTAAAGAAAGAGGAAAGATAAGGATGTGGGTGGTTGGCGGGAGCTCTGGCGTGGTTTGCTCCTTCTTTCTTATTAAACATCTACTGTCCTTGACTCCCCTTTTTCTTTGTTATGTGTGTTACTCTTGTAACACCTCTAATTTTCTGGCGCTCATATGCAGTTGCGAGCGCCGAAAAACCTCTACTAAAACTAAAGAGATAAGGACGATAGGTAATTGACAGGAAATAAGGAGCACACCACACTAGAGCACCACCCGCCAACCGCCCACATATCACTTGTCCCGGCAGCAACTACTTACAAACTGGAGGGTTTTGTTGCTGTCTTTGTTGTACACGCTGAGAACCAGTGCCAGTTCAGCATACCCCACGTGCTGGAACCCTTGCCCTCTCACCACAATCTCAATGCCACCACTGGGGGGGGGGGAAGGGAGACAAATCAATTAATCTTTTGAAGAATATATTTTTCTTTTTGTTGTTGTTGTTGTTGTTGTTGTTGTTGTTGTTGTTGTTTTTGTCCCTTGCCATATCTATGATACTGACGCCGTCTGTAGTAGAAAAATGTGCGTATGATGATAGTGTCCTACAGTGTATTACATACATAATTGTTTAAAACATGTAACTGTTACATATAGATCTTCAAGATAATTATAGATGAATGTGAAGGATCTTAGAGCAATGATGATTTTAGTAATGTAGAATATCTAGAAAAATGATTCCCTCCCCTCTTCAAGGTACATGGAGATAATAATATTATTAATTTGTTATAGAGTATCCAGAACAATGGTTCCCTCCCCCACGCAAAACACACAGAGAAATTGGAAATTTGAAAATGATTTTGAAATACGAAGCTCCTGCAAATTCTTAGAGTTTACTCAAGTGAAAACCTCAGCAACTTTGCTATCTCCCTTAAAGGTGAAGTTATTTGGTGTGGAAACTCATGAAACCGTTGACAAATTTGTCACGATGCTGTGAAAACAGGCTTTTGTCAGTTTTGAACTTGTTTTTAGTTTAAGTAAGAGTTTTACATCACTCGCAACACAATAAGGTCATATAAGTGCCGAAGATTAGAGGAGTTACAAGAGAGTAACAAACACAAAAAAGGAGGAGGAGAGAGAAGGACGATAGCTTTTGATAGGAATGAAGGAGCAAACCGCACCAGAGCTCCCGGCAGCCACACACTTGAACTTATCATGAAGTTATTGGTATTATCTAAAACCTTATTCAATTATTTTGCTTTTGATGTGAAATATTCGAGGTTGAAAGGGGTGGGCGTTGCCTTGTGTCAGATGTAAAATTAGCAAGCAAATGGCAGCCAAAGTTTGGTGACTTCCAAAACTGGAAAGTCCTTGGAAACTGCATAAGCAAATTTAGATTTTTTGTTCCTTTGATCAACATTTTTTAGCAAAATCCACCCAGAAATTTGTTTTTAAATGTACATAACCGGTGTTCATTCCCCAATCCCTTCCCCTCCTCCAAATTTGTAAAAAAATCGCACAATTGGCGGGGAAAAAATGTCAGTTTCTTTGAGTTCATTAATTTACTTTGTGAGGCATCATGGTGAAATCAGGCACTCGTCAAAACAAGGAAATCAAAGAAATTTGCATTTTTCTAGCCGTTTGGCTTAAAAACAATTTTTTTTAGCCTCAACATCATTTAAATCCATTAAAAAACACATTCTGTGTGGGTTTTTACGGAATAACATAGATCAAAGGCACAAAAAAAAAATGCAAATCTACAGTTTCCAATCATACCCAGGCTTTAAAAGTCACCAAACTTAGGCAGGGGGGCTCTCGTGGCCTAGAGGTGAAGGTGTTGGCCTCTCACTCAAAAGGTCCCGGGTTCGAATCCGGGTAGCGGCCAAAAAATTTTCTTCTCTAAATTTGTCTCCTTTCACCTCATTTCCTG